CAATAGTCCCCCCTCACTGTCATAACTGCACCTGCCGACACACCAATCCCCTTGCTCTCACCACCCTACCTGACACCCTCCTCCATCCCCAACCTTGTCTGTTCTGGAATGGGCACACGTATGCTAGTTATCCAGGATGATACTAACAGCAGTGCTTTTATCAACCGTAATAATATTGGCACTGATTTTTAACATTATAAGCAAGACAAACCCAATGACATATGCATAGATGAAATGTATTAGCTTACCGAATATCTTCACTGATGTTAATAGTTCTCTTTGTAGTCGGCAAAAGCGATCTTTGCAGTTGGCTTTGTTTGCTCTCACTTAGCATCTTAGCCATGAAGATATAATTTGATTTTTCCTTCTCCAAATATTTTGTGTTCTGATACTGGACAAGAAGAAGAGAGCCAGGATTCTCTAAGTTATCTGTTTTCACAACAAACAAAACAAAAAAATATATGGCTGCATAAATAATCAGATGTGGGAATATAACATTAAGTTCTGCTTCCCTAAAACAAAAACCTTAAGTAACCATGCCGAGGACAATTTATTGCTCAATGGATAGTTTTAGAACGCTTTAAGGACCTATTCACATTTGTCTGTTTTCCTGCAGCAAAACTCCATGAAGATGCACTGCAAGTAGAAATCCCATTATTCTCAATGTGGCAGGTTCACATCTATGCAATGTAGTTAAGTGTGAAAGGGAAAAGTGAGCTATATGTACCCATTTACACCTATACCTGTGCATTATCATGCATGCTGCATGCACACGGAACAGTGTGAATCCAGCCTAAGACACACTGAGCTTCAATAAAAACCTAAGGAAAAGGTCCACATTGTCGCTGTCGCTTTTCTAATTCAAATATGAAGAAGCAGGCAGTGAGCAATTTTCCACTGCCGCTCTGCACTCTACACCAGCCTGCCTATGACATTGAAACAGGAGACATGAGGATCCTTCACCTTAGGTGCGTAGGCACCTAGAGATGTACTTACCTGCAGGAACCTTCAGTCCACTACACTACACCTTAACTCCAGGGCCATTTTGGCCACTTGCTGGTCATTTCAAAGCTTTTCTGTTCTTTCCTACCTCAAACACATTACTTTTGGCACATATTTTAGCCCATCGCCATGATGGGCTCCCAATAGGAAGGTGTGGGTGCAGGATGGGATGGGTAAGCTTCAATACTACAAGGAAGTGTCAGAGCTTTGCCCGATCAAAATAGCCTGGGTTTTGTCCGTGTGGGCAGCAACTGTGGGCTGCTGCATTAATGTGCAGACACCTATAGGTAGGTACTACTCTATTTACTATCTGGGGTTGGCATGAACCCACCCCCCCACACACACCCAGCAGGATAGTTTATCCAGTAATAGTTTGGAAATGTTATTAATCACTTGATAATGCGATTAAACTGTGTCCCACAGCATGATCTGCAGATTGCTAAAAAAATATGCATCGGTGCAGAGGGCAGACAGAGGATAAATAATATGACAGACATGAAATTATGTGGAATATAGAATATGGAAAAGGGAAATGAGGACATTTAAACCAATTCGAAGATAGAATTACCAGCATATACCAATGCCAAATTAATGAGTCAGCATGTACAAGGAACATACACAACTTTCATCAAAATGTATTATCATTAATATCTGACATACATAGCTGGTCGGAGACTAACTGTCCCTCCATGTTTTCTTTTCTGCTTTTCTTTCTGGCATCCCTTGAGGCTTTCCATTTAACCAAGAACTGTCTGGTCATTACTGTTATTTCTTTACCATCCAGGATTTCTGTTAGAATGAGAGTTAGTTATGATCATGATTCCAGCAAAGTAAATAACACTGTAATGACATTGGCCGTATCATTGTTTGGAAAGGTAAAATCTGCCATTCTGGGAAAAGGAAGGTTGAAAGTGGTGTTTTTATATGAATGTTTCTCTTTGTTTACCCAATGTGTTTGAAGTGACAATAACTTTATCTCTGTATTTGGGCTTCTGGCAAATTAGGTTTCCACTCAGATCCATTCTCCATAGCTTTGGCCATTTCCTCAAGACAAACTCCAAGTCCTGTAAAAAACAAACAAACAAAAACAAATAATTCAGTGGGTCCAGGAAAAGCCGCTGTGCTGAGTGACTCCCTCTGTGGCGACTGCAGTGTTTACAGGATCTCCATGGTCCTACCAGGGAAAGTTATATAAACTTACATTGTGCCAAGCAGGACCAATGTAAGTACAGGTGAAACTCGATTAATTAGAATATCGTGCAAAGTTCATTTATTTCACTAATGCAACTTAAAAGGTGAAACTAATATATGAGATAGACTCATTACATGCAAAGCAAGACAATTCAAGCCGTGATTTGTCATAATTGTGATGATTATGGCTTACAGCTCATGAAAACCCCAAGAACCCCAAATCCACAACCTCAAAAAAGTAGAATATTACATGCAATCAATAAAACAAGGATTGTACATAGAACAATATCGGACCTCTGAAAAGTACAAGCATGCATATGTACTCAGTACTTGGTTTGGGCCCCTTTTGCAGCACTTACTGCAATTACTTTTGCACGATATTCTAATTATTCGAGTTTCACCTGTATATATTAATCTCTATAGCTGAGGTTCAGCTTCAACATATTAAAGAGCAATTCCAAGCAACAAGGAAAATCAAACAAATAATAATGCTACTGACTTTAGCTGTGCTAAAGTCAGACATATCACACATTTATTTAGATAAACGTAACTTTAGCCTCGATTTGTGCAATCTACATGGCGAGGGAATTTGTCTGCTTCCTGCAGCCTGTGTCAACCAATCACCCCCTCCGTCCTGGCGTTATCTAAAGCAGGAGTAGGCAAACTTGGCCCTCCAGCTGTCCTATGTCCTGAGAGGCACTTCAAGACTTTGCTAGCCAGAGGCAGGACTCCCAAAGGCAAAGGCTAGATGGGATTTATAGTTTCACCACTGCTGGAGTACCAAGGTTGCCTAACCCTGATCTAAACTAAGACAGACTGACTAATGCTTCTAAGGAACTTTGTAGTACTGAATTCCATATATCTTATGTGAGATACAGCAACAGGATTAAAGTGGGAGTCCATCCGTTCCCGTGCGGCCGGCTCAGTTTATTGTGGGGCGGGAAGGGGTGTGGCGGTACATTGAAGTGAATGGCACCGCAGCCACACCCTCAGGTCGCAATGCGATCGGCCACACGGGAAGGCAAAGCACATCAATGCCTGCGGTCTGCTCCGGTCAGAAAAAAATGTGCTTGCAGCATTTTTCTGACCAGACCTGACCAGACCGCAGGCATTGATGTGCCTTGAGTTCACGTGCGGCCAGAGGGCGTGGCTGCGGTGCCATTTACTTCAATGCACCACTACACCATCCCTCCCGGCCCTCAACAAACTGAGCCGGTCACAATGCGATCCAGTCGGTCTCGGCCACGATCCTTCCGGAATGCACTGTGGATGGTGTGAACGAGGCCTCAATGTTGTGAATTTTGTATATTATGCTTTTTCTTAGTAAAGAACAAAAATAAGTGTATCCTCCAGGATGGCTACATACCATGCAATTCACTTTTGACTGAAGCATACAATTAACGGTAACTCCAGGCAAACAGCTAAATACTCCGATCAAATACATAAAAGGGGATGTTTTACCTGCCAAAGGATTTGTATTTCTGTCCATCCAGTTCTAAGATTTACAAAGCTCTGCCACACAAAACAGCTGAATTGTCTCTGCTGCAGTTCAGAAACAGTTACAGGTCTCCTCCCCACCCTATGACTGGCCAGAGAAAGGAGAAGCAGTAGACCGATAAACTCATCTTTCTGTCACTCTGCTTGCTCTCTCCTCCTATCAACATACCCCTTGCACTGCAGCACAACTAACTGGCTCCTTCTGCTGCCCTCAGTCTGAGCTCTACTGTACAGGGGACTGCAAAAGGCTGATACCAAGTCAAATTTAGATACTTACACTGCTTACATTTAAAAATGCATTCCAGGATGTGATTAGGAATAGAAAGCTGCATTCATTTGTGCCTTTCATATCTGCCTAGAAAGAGTTCAGCGTTAAACAAACAATGGTATGTGACCCCCATCCTATGTTTTATGGGGGATAGTAGGGATGGTGCAGCAGGTTGTTCCTGGTGTATTAGCAGGCATAACCTGTGGTGAACTACGTGTGCTACAGGAAGTTAACAAACAGGCTATAAAGCGGGATGCTTAGGAGCTTTGCCCTCTGACTCCCCAACGTTTTTCTAAGTTTGTTAAGGCCTGGTTCACACCTGAACGTTTTGTAGCGCATTCAACGCTCGACGAACGCTCTACAAAACGCTCAAAAATATAAATCCCATTGTATTCAATGGTCTCGTTCCCACCGTGGCGTATTTCCGGCCGTCCCTAACGCGCTACAAAACGGCCCACGCCTGAAAAGGTACATGTACTACTTTGGGCCGTTTTGTTGCGCGTTTCCATTGGGATACAGCCAAGTAGCCTTCGGAAACGCGCGTTTGTCCCGCGACTTTTTTACCGCGAATCGCGGTAAAAAACGTGCGCCGGTCGAGCGACAGACGCGCATATGCAATACGCCTAGGTGTGAACGAGCCTTAAGGCTGGGTTCACACCTAGGCGTATTTAATATGCGCATTTGTCGCGTCGCACGTTTTTACCGCGATTCGCGGTAAAAAACCCCTGCGACAAACGCCCGTTTCCGAGGGCTACTTGGCTGTATCCCAATGGAAATGCGAGACCAAAACGCCCCAAAGAAGTACATGTACTTCTTTGGGCGTAGGCCGTTTTGTATCCCGTTCGGACGGGCGGAAATACGGCAAGGTGTGAACCAGACCCATTGAATACAATGGGATTTAGATGTTTGAGCGTTTTGTAGAGCGTTCGTCGAGTGTTGAACGCGCTACAAAACATTCAGGTGTGAACCAGGCCTCAGTCTCCATATGGGCAGACAGTGTGCACTGAATCTCCAGGTACAGTCACGATACAGCTGCTATGGCTGGTCTCTAAATCATAAAGCTACCCCATGGAATATGACAGTATCCTCATAACATCACTGCTTCCAGTTGAACAAGCTGGAGTACTTGCACCAGGTCACTAAATCCATTTACACAAAGGCTTTTAGGTACACGTTAAATAGGACTGCATTTAATAAAAAGGACATCTGCCTTCTGAATTCTATACAATGCTAATTATGAAGTGGTACTTAAAAAAGAAAAGAGAGCTTTGGTTATGAGCAATACATAAAACTATGTCCCGCAGTCAGTGTCATTTTCCCTGACCTCACACTTCTAATTTTCACAACATATACTTAAAGAAAAATAGTTGTGTTTATTTTTGTGGTTCTTAGATTAATAATGTTCATCAGGGAAAGGAGAAAGTCATACATTACAAAGAAACGCACAATTTGTAGCACCAGCCTTTGATAAATCTATTGCTACTCTGAAGCATTTTTTACTAACTGCTACTCACTTGATAAATGACCCAGAACATGCTGGTCGCGGTGTATGTTTATCTTAGAATACTCTAATCCTATGGTGAAATATGATTACTTCTTTGGACACGCTCTAGTTGTTTATTGCCTTCCTGTCTCTAATAAAGTGCTCTCACTTTCCAGCCTTTCAATAACTATTACTAGAGGGACCAGCGTCTTTTTATGCAGGCTCTACTTGATAAATGATCATGTCACAGCATCACTTAGAAGTTACTAAGAAATCACAAGTTATACACAAGGGATGTAACACTGGCAATAGCCTTCTCCCCTCCTAATACTGCCCATTATGAACTTGCAACTGAACAATGGAGTGTAATCTTTATTGGAAAAATTCTTAACTTGGGATCCTTAACTAGGACTTCAGACAGCAATTTGTCACCAGTTTGACGGCTTGTCATAATCTCTGTGGGAAAAGAAAATCTATATGTTGTACCCTGGCCACTGCTAAGACAGAAAGAAAATGAATTCATCTTTTCATGATGCTCTTCCCATAATCAATACAGGACAGAGTTTGAATACATTAAAGTCATAATGATGATAAAGCTGTCTAAGTGGTAACTGGACAGCGTGACCTTAAAAAAAGTGGATACAATGAAATTAACACTTACATTTACATTTTTACAGGAAACAGAAAAACATACTCAGCTACAACACAACCTTGTACCCCAATACATCTAACTCTGTAAGTGGAATAGTACATGGTTGCAAGCTATATTTTCTTTGGAAATGGTGATCTGGAGAAAAAAATGGAACGTCAGCCAAAGCTTTTGTCTATTTTTTTTGTTTTGTTTGATGCAGAGAAGGCTTAAAGCAGAACTCCAGGCACATCTATTCTTAAAGGAGAACTATGGGGTTAAGTCTTTTCCCCATAGTTCTCCTTAGGGTAACGGGAGGACACAAACTAGCGTCCTCCCGTCACCCTAGGCTCAGTATACCGCAAGCTGTAGCTCACAGTATACTCAGACGCCGCAGTATACCGCGAGCTGCTGCTCGTGGTATACTGAGACGCCGAAGCTGAAGCGGATCCTGACAATTGTGCCGGGATCGGCCCAGCTGCGTGACTGACAGCTGGCTCTGCCTATCTAAAGGCAGAGCCAGTTGTACCCGCCCCCTCCCCCGTACGTTCCACCAGTCAGCGCTGGCGGATCGGAGCGGGGGGAATCCAGCCCCTCCCCTGTCACGGCAGAGAGCTGTGACAGGATCGAGAGGCGATCGAACGCCGGTATGTGTTGCTCACCTCCCGATCTACTGAGCCGACCTGTGACAGTCTTATTGTCACAGGTCAGCTAGAACTATGAGGTGAGTGAAAAGCACTCACCTCATAGTTCTCCTTTAACCCTTTCTGTAGGGATACCCCTGCACTGCAAAGGTTAAGTGTTCGTTTTGTCTAGGAAGCTAAAATAATAATGTTATACTCACCCGAACCGAAATCTCAGCTTGCTCTTAGACAGGTCCCTACAGTCCCGCTCCCCTTTCACTCCAGTAGTCTAACGTTTTATACAGTGTATAGAACGTGAGGAAGCCAAGGGAAATTCCATCGCTGAGACAGGCTGGAGGGAGTGGTTTAGGAGGATCACATGAGTATATCTGTATATTGCAGTCAGAATACCTCTCCCATTAGGTCTTTTCCTAGTGACCACACAGAAAGTGAGGGGAATATCCACCACAGGGACAATAAACACCTGAATGAGGCTCTAACCCTACCCCACTCTAGCCAAAACAAACCAAAAGGTTCTCATTTCAGTTCCACTTTATACTTCTAGTTCTCCTGGGGGCTGCTCTATTAGGTTAAGTGGACATAGAGTAAAATAACATAAAGGTTGTTGATTTAAATACACAGATCACCCCACAGAAGGTTACTTAGCTTGCCTGTGCTTTCTCTGGGTGATGGAAGGCTTGGAGCCGGGGAAGTCCAAGATCCCATAGCGCAGCCCTCTTGGTAATTACCCCCAACTTGAAGGCTAGAGTGTGTGCTACATTATCTCTGGTATATGCTGTATCTTAATTTTACAATTCTAGACAAGTAGAGGAGATAAAGGAAGGCTCTCCATACAGCCAAGGCGTCAGCAAATACTAGTGGGGGGCACACTGCAGTGTCCCATGGCTCGGAGCCACCATCATCCATAGTAAAGCTATGGTAAGGTAGGACACCACGTGAGAGGGCAATAACCGCTGTATATTTAAAGTATATAAGTTATTGGTTTATAATGTTTCTTAAAAATTCAGGAGTGATCTTGAGATAACTGCCGCACAGGCCGGTGTGCGCAAGCGCACACTGCCTGTTCAGCATTGCGGCCATCTGTAGTACAATCTGCCTGTCCAAGATGGGCAGATCGTACGTTTTTTTAATTACCTTACAACCATCGCAAGACAAAAGTCTTGCGATGGTCGTAAGGTGTATGGCCAGGTTTAGAATGGTGTCCGAGAGCAAAGCTAGGCTTGGACTTCACTCTCAACTTTCCTAGATTCTAAAAACATGTTAAACTCTCTCTGGGAATCTTTTTAAATGGACTTTTAAGGATATGACAACACAATTAGCTAACACAAGGCATATACCGGCAGATCAAGATGAAAATAATACAATTTTGCATACTGGTTATCTAAAAACACTGTGGGAAAGAAAACTAAAGTGTCTGTTTCGGCCAGAGCAATCAGCCTGATTACAACCACTTTGTCTGTGGGACAGAAAGAAAAATCAGGGATGGAATGCTATAGGTGGAATAGTATTTTTTCGTTCCATTAGTTTATACTGTTTCTGCAAACATCTTATACTGTATTATCTTAATCTGCCCAATCGACATCTACTATGGCAGGCACTTATACTGAAACACTACTGAACCCACTGCCAGCAAAGCATAGAAGCGAGAGAATGGCTGCCATGTGGCAGACTACTGTTTCTCCTCTTTGTGTCTTGCATCCTACCACTTCTGTCTAATTACATCTATAACCCCACTTCTCCCTTATGACTTTATAGATGGAACCCCCTTTCCATGCAGCCAAAAATGTGATGGAAGGTAAGTTATTCAATGTTTTCTAGTCAATATGAAAAAATAAAGATGTTTTCCATATACTTATACCATATCCTTTGTTTCCAGAACTGATCATTACCTTAATATCTGTAAGATGATTGTCCATTGCCACAAGCTGAGTCAGATTTTCCAACACCGCAAGTTCCTTCAGTTCATCAATATTGTTATTGCTGATATTCAGCACACAGAGAGATGTCTGCAGAGACAGATTATTCACTTTAACAGTAGCAATAGGCACTAAGAGGTAGATGAATTGTGCATGCATATCCATATAACTGAAAATCCCAGCACCTGCTGCATGTTCATATCACAAGAAACCCCAGAACCAGCTGCATGATCATATCACAGGAAACCCCAGTACCTGCTGCATGTCCATATCACAAGAAACCCCAGCACCAATTGCATGTCCATATCACAAGAAACCCCAGCACCAACTGCATGTCCATATCACAAGAAACCCCAGCACCAACTGCATGTCCATATGACAAGAAACCCCAGCACCAGCTGCATGTCCATATCACAAGGAATACCAGAAACAGCTGAATGTCCATATCACAAGAAACCCCAGCACCAACTTCATGTCCATATCACAGGAAACCCTAGAACCATCTGCATGTCCATATGACAAGGAACCCCAGAAACAGCTGAATGTCCATATCACAGGAAACCCCAGTACCAACTGCATGTCCATATCACAGGAAACCCCAACACCAACTGCATGTCCCAATCACAGGAAACCCCAGAACCAGCTACATGTCCATGTCCAGGGATGCACAGATACTTTTCGAGTACCAGTGCCGATACTTGGCATTTTCATGAGAACTACCAGGGTTGCAGAGGTTGCAGCTGGGACCTGGCTCTGGCGCTCCACCACTGTCCTGAAATCATTAGTCTGTATTGTTTTATAAAAACTGTCACATGACAATAAACAAAAATGTATCAATACTCATACTTGTAAGTACTCGGCAAGTACCAGTACTCGTACTCGCAAAACTGGTATGGGTGCATCCCTTTATTTATATTTATAAAAACAAAATCGTACATTAAAACAGAGATGTACAAATCCCAGGAGCTCCGTGTGCTCCTTACAAATGAAGGCTGCCTCCTAATTTTTGAATTTTTCTCTAGTGTAGTCTTGGAGCTCAAAAGTATCGGTACATGTACTCGTACTTTTACCGAGTACTGTACTTGGTATCTGTGCAACCCTAAAATTTACATTGGAAAACTGCTGTTACACATTTTGGAACAAGAAAATATCATACATAGCGCACTCTGTCTGACTGGCCTATCCAATGAGGTAAAGAATAAAGATCAGTTTGCAAAGTGATGTAAACCATAACAACCCCTTACTGTTCTTATTAAATATATGACTGATATCCAATCGATTGCTACAAGTTGCTTTATCATGCTCTTTGCCTTACAGAACAAAGTGTGTGGCATATTGAATATGAATGGCAATATGAATACTTACAGATATAAAATGGAGTGTTCTAGGATCAAACAGTAGCCTCTCTCCTGGTGGGATATGCTGACTCTCAAGGTGCAGTTCCCTCAGTTCATGAAGACCCTCTAAACCTTCAACCACAGTGAGATAATTGCCACCCAGGTATCTGCAGAAAAATGTTTATTCCAGAATGATACTACTCAACAGATTCAAAGCTGGAAGCTGAAACACCGTGGTATAGCACTGCAACTTACAGCTTTTCAAGTCTTCTTAGCCCACTCAGGTTTTCTATGGTGGATAGACAATTATTCTGGAGGTACAGGTGTGTTAGGTTTGTGGCAAATCCAAGATTTCCAATTTGACTGATGTTGTTGTCATACAGGTATAAAACTGTGAGGTTTCTGCACATGGACAGATCCTCCTGGAAAAGAAATGCAGTGTCATATCTGGACTTTTTGTAGGTGGTGATACAAATGGAACTCATTTAATTCCACGTTACGAAGTCAACACTGCTCTTTGCCATATGGTACTGTAAGCCCTGGCCAATGTAGTGATCCAGGGGATGTGTCCTTAGTAACCAATTCATTTTGAGAATGAGGTATAAAACTGTTCGGAATGCTGATTAAACAAAGCAGATTACCAATGGCCCAGAGCATTTAGAAAGGAATAATTTAAATCCCTGATACATGTCCATTAACATCTCCTAGAAGCACAACATTCAAGAAATGTCTTTTTGGAAGCTCCAGACAGTACTGCTCCTGATCTATCTCTGACCTCCCGGCCGACATCAACACTCCAGGTATGGCAGACATCAGTGCTGGTGTCATGTCTCCATCCACAGTGTTTATGCTGAGCCATTCACAAAAGCAACCTGTGATGATGCTGTGGGTGTGTGTTTTAGTGAATGGCCAAGATGGAGGTGGAGACAGGACACCAGCACTGCTATCACACCTGCAATGCTGTGGTCAGTGGTAGCTGTACTATATCAAGCATCCAATAGATGGAGATTTGCCAGTGGCCAGTGTCACTGTGGGAGGAGATGAGGGGAACCTCCTTAGGGCCCATTGCGTTGTGATTCGGTTTTCTATGGATGCTAATGGAAGGGCACCAAAAAATGAATGAGTGCTAATGGGGCTAGTTCACACCGCTCTGTTCCGTTGAGTTACGTTGCGCTGAAAAAAGTATAACATGCACTACTTTTTTCAGCACAACTTAACACAACAGATCAGGTGTGAACTAGTCCTATTCACACCCATTCATTTTTCGGTGTCCTTCCGTTAGCATCCGTTGTAAAATGGATTGTAATTAATCGGAAGGAAATCAGAAGGTACAATTGACCCTCGGTTGACTGGAGATTTCCTTCAAATTTTTGGTGTGAATGCACCTTTAATAAAGACACGGACAACTGTAACAACTCACTAACATCCTTGCATTTTACAAAAAGTCGCATTTTATTGCTATGTGGTTGTGTTTCTCTTAGAGAAGTTTTTTTGTTCACTTTCTGTCTCAATTACCTTTTTAAATGGAAGTCTCCTTTAACATAAGTGAACTTTTAACAGAGGGTTCAACCTTTCCTTACCCTTCTACCAAAAAAAAGTTATGCTGAAGTTCCATTTTAAACTTTGTGGCAATGTAAAACAATTTAAGTTTACACAGTGTTTTCACTCATTGCCTGGAGTTGCCCTTTATATCTGAGAACTACAACATTTTCTTTGTCTTACGTAATTTGTTACAAAGAGCAGTATTTATGTTTATCAAGGTTTGTAGTCCCTCAGTGAAAGCACTGAATGTCACCTGAAGTGCAACGTGGACAGTCTCCTAAGACAATGTCAAACACATCAAATTAACTTCTGTAAAATCCCAGAAATAACAGGAAAAGTCTACTGACAGAGGTGAACAAGCCACAGTGAACACACCAATTACCACTTAAAGTGTTGTTCTATTACATGAAGAAAGGAAAAAACCTCAAATGTTCAGGCGTCACTATAATGCATTGTGAAGGAAGACTGAAAGATGAGGTGTCTTGGGAACACATGCCTGCAAGAACTATGAAGAGGAATCTGCACGAGCGCATACAGTCCACACATACATATATACACAGCTTGTATGCTCTGTACAATGAATGCATTTACACTGCCGACAATTGTCTTTTTTTGTCTTTTCAAATGTGTTCATATAAAAGAAGCCCCATTTTGTTTTTTTCTTTCATTTATATAGTAGTGTAATAATGTGCATTGTAGTAAGGCAGATTTATTTTGAATGGGCTGCCAACATGCCACAATGGATATATTATAACCAGCACACCACAACACACAGATGAATCACCTCTGTTTGTTGTGGTTGGTAAAATGCAGGTCTGATGTGGTGTGTTGTTTAAAAGGAATGGCACCTTCTCCTGGGTCGCGGCCCTCTATGCCTCACCCCAGGCCAAGCTTAAGTACTGTGGCTTTGAATCATCCCTGTTCCCGATAGCGCGCGGCACCCGCCAAGGTTGTCCCCTATCGCCCATCCTTTTTGCCCTCGCCCTTGAGCCATTGGCAGAATACATTAGAACCAACCCTGATATTCAGGGCCTTGAGGTGGCGGGAACTCACCACAAAATATCCCTCTTCGCTGATGATGTCCTCCTGTCTCTGACAAATCCCTTCCTCTCCCTCCCGAATCTCTTTAAGGCACTCTCAGACTTCGCACTCATCTCGGACCTAAAGGTCAACCAATCCAAATCCCAAGCTCTTAATGTCTCCTTGACGCCCGCAACACTAGCCACACTCAAGCTCTCCTTCCCGTTTACCTGGACTCCATCTCTAAAATACTTGGGCATTCGCCTGACCCCGACCTATGACACTCTATACGAAGCCAACATCCCCCCCCTTCTGAAATCTCTCACTAATTTACTGGTCTCCTGGCAGAGATTTCCCATCTCATGGATAGGGAGGATCCATGCAGTGAAGATGACCTTCCTGCCTAAGTTGCTCTACGTGTTTCGGACCCTGCCGATTCCCATCCCTGGCCATATCTTCCGCATTCTCCAACGCAGGATACTCGCGTTCATCTGGGGCAACTCCCGTCCCCGACTCAACCGAAAACTGCTATATCGCCCCAAGCTTTGTGGCGGTCTGGCAGTTCCTGATCTTCGCGCGTACTATACGGCTGCCACCATTGCCCCCCTAGCCCTCTTACACTCAACGGCCGAGCTCCCGCTTTGGGCGTGTTTGGACATGGTGGACTGTCATCCCCTGCCCCTCACGTCCCTGCTATGGCTATCCCAGACCGATCGCCCTACTACTCTCAGCCCAATCCTTAAACACTCCCTGAAGGTGTGGGACGGAGTTCGGTACTCCGGCAACCTGATGTCGCCTCATCTCCCTTTACTACCCTGGCTCAACTCTCCATTATTCCCCCCTGGTGTCAGTGACCCTCACTCGTTCGCTTGGTGGTCTCGCAACGATCTGACCACTGTTCACTCCCTAATCTCGCTCTCGGGCGTGAAGTCGTTCCAGCAGCTCCGTGCCAATAGATCCATCCCCCTTCGGGAATGGTTCCGCTACACCCAAATAAGCCACTTTATTAATTCGCTCCTGAAAAACACCTCAGCTCCATCGAGAATGACCCTATTCGAGCACTGCTGCAACTCAGATCCGCACGCCCCAGGTGTCATTTCTTTGATCTACTCTTCTCTGGTGACTTCCGCATCTACCACCCTTGCCCCCTATCAACGTCAGTGGCATGAGGAACTGGGCAGATCTCTAACTTCTGAGGACTGGCAGCATACCTGGTCAGCGGTGGCCCGTTGCTCCCGCAATGTACTTGCACTCGAGAACTCCTACAAAGTGATGTACCGTTGGTATTACACGCCTGCCCGTCTGGCGAAATTCATTCCCTCCTACTCTCCGCACTGCTTCCGGGGCTGTGGCGCACCGGGCACCATGATCCACATTTGGTGGACGTGCCCCCGGGCGGCACACCTCTGGAATCGGGTCTACGACTTACTCAACTCTCTTTTTCAACTCACCTTACCAAAGGAACCGTGCGAGGCATTGCTGCTACAGCCAGTTCCGCAGTTATCTCGTTACCAGAAGCACCTTGTGTCCCACATCTTTGTCGCCACCAAAATGACAATCGCCAGAGCGTGGAAAACCCCGACTCTGAGCTTCAGGGAAGTCAAAAATCGCATAGATGATATACTGGTCAATGAGAAACTGACTGCGGTTCTGTCCGACACCCATGACCGCTTCCTACTGATTTGGCAACCTTGGATCGATTACTCTAAGCCACCGTCCTTCGATCCGCAGCTTCTCTCCATTTAGAGGCTCTGTACTTCCCACCCCCTCCTGGTCCCCCTCCCTAGCCCACCACCCTCCCTTGTCCTACTCCCCTCTTGTTCTTTCCTATTCCCGGTCTCTCCCTCCTTCTCTACTTCCCTGCCCTCTTCCTTTAACCCCTCTGTTGCTCTCCCTACACCGATCTGTGCTGTTTGACGTCCCCCGTACCATCTGCACCGGATGTCTTGGTGTAGGGGACCGTCTACCTCCTTGCTCTCTACTCCATTATACCCAGGGTCCGGACCTGATAAGCCCCCCCTATGATGCTCCTTTTCATGTCATCTTAGGTCCTACCCACTATAACTGGACAGCACTACCCTCTTTATACGCCTATAATGATCTTTGACGCTTGTTTCGTTGATTGGTTTTACAGTTTGCAGGGCGCTGCACAATGTTATGACTGCATACTTTCAATTTGTGTTCCTTGTTGCGGGGCTTGCATGCCCTATTTCTGTTCTCTTATTGATTGTAACCTTTATGTGAAAACAAAAATTATAAAAAACAAATAAAACCTTTGTGAAAGAAAAATCAATAAAAACTTTGTGAAAGAAAAGGAATGGCACCTAAAAACACACCAAATACATGACAGCATCAAATGCGTATTACTGTTTCTTACTGCAATACAACGGTCTTAATCCAGCCTTACAGATTTAATACCATGCATGCTATTAGACATGTATTCCAGAATGGCCACATGAGCAGCTTCACAAAAAGTCGATGCAAAGAGGGTTAAGGTCATCAGAATTTTTTAATGACAAAACAATTGACTGGTCAGAGTATGGGTTAGTTTTTTTTTTCACTCTATACAGGGACCTGTAGGTAGCTTAGGTCAAAACCGGATTAGAAAACTCAATATGAGAAAAGAGATAACATTTTTCTCCGGTTTTGATAAATTCCCCTCATAGTTTATTATTTTTAGAGGGCTGCTGTTCCAAGCAGCGGTGTATTTACCTTTGCTGCTGCCCTAGGCAAGGCAGCAACGCCCTATCGGCGGGTCAGTCCGGGGGGGGGGTGTGCAGCTTTGCCCTAGGCAAGGCAGCATCGCCGCCCTCAGCGAATCTGCCGCTCCAGGCAAACGACTTGTTTGCCTCGCGGCAGATACGCCCCTGGTTCCAAGTATCATTCACATTCACTTGTAATTGATACATAGGGACACATATAAAACTGTGGCTTGTATATGGGTGCATGGAGCCCACGGAAGTCATATTTCAGAAAAAAAAAGCATAAAACTATATCTTCCATTCACAGCACAGTGGTACTTACCACATAGTCAATGTTTTTATTTGAAAAATTCAGATGAGTCACTCTCTTCAAGTATTGGGCTACGGACTCATCTTTCCGGCTGCGAAGGTGACTGCTTGTTCTTGCAATGAGATCAACCGATAGACGGACCATCATTGCCTAAATGGTTCAACAGCTTGGAAGAGTATGATTCTCTAGTATGTATCCTTCATCATTTTCCTGGAGAGACATAAACATGAAACATGTCATTGTTTAGCTTTGTTTTACCCTTTGCCTGTACCATGATTAATAAAATAAGACCTATAAAATGCACTTCTATCACAAGTATATATAATATATACAATAATCATTAACTGCATCTTACAATTTTAAAATGTCAACTTTTAAACTGTGTGGTTTAATTGGATGACTATCACTCTATCATTCAGTGGTAGACCTAAGGAACAAAGGGCCCTAATTAAATGAAATAACAGCACCATGTGTGCAGTTACCCCCGTACCCATCCCACCACTCTGCCCTTCCCCCGACTCAGTGCCTCACCCGGTCCAGTCCACTCACGGAAGTGCCGCCAGAGATGACAACTTCCCAGCCAGGCGGTGTGTAGGGGGAGGGGCATGTGACACACATTTCTCCTCTCCTGACGCCTGTTACTAGGGATGTGGCTGGGAGTCGGAGCGGTGATTCACATGACCCCACCCCTTACTAAGAAGCCTGTTAGCAGTGCAGGGTCCCTGCACTGCCCCATATTCCACCAAGGACCGGACCTCACTGGGCACCCCCACAGCCTCAGGCCCCCGATGCAGTTGTACCGGCTGCACCCGGCAGTAGTTCCGCCCCTGCTATCACTGTGCTCTAAGTAAAGCACATCCAGGCGGTTGCATTCACAAAGCATCATTTATAAGTGCAGAGTTCTGAACTACAACATTGCCAATAGTGATACTCCTGGTTTACAGGTGAAACTCGAATAATTAGAATATCGTGCAAAAGTAATTGCAGTAAGTGCTGCAAAAGGGGCCCAAACCAAGTACTGAGTACATATGCATGCTTGTACTTTTCAGAGGTCCGATATTGTTCTATGTACAATCCTTGTTTTATTGATTGCATGTAATAATCTACTTTTTTGAGGTTGTGGATTTGGGGTTCTTGGGGTTTTCATGAGCTGTAAGCCATAATCATCACAATTATGACAAATCACGGCTTGAATTATCTTGCTTTGCATGTAATGAGTCTATCTCATATATTCGTTTCACCTTTTAAGTTGCATTAGTGAAATAGTTTGGGCCCCTTTTGCAGCACTTACTGCAATTACTTTTGCACGATATCCTAATTATTCGAGTTTCACCTGTATATACAGTGGTCAGATTCAATCAATTGCACCAAAATGCACACATCTAATGTTCAGCAGTGCTGGTAGAGTTTCTTTTATCTTGAAGCATATCTAAACCCAAAAACAAAAATGTAATACTGTATCATGCCATGTGGTGCAATGCACACACTTCTTTCACTGCAATTTAGCTGCAGCAGGAATCCCATTCAAATGAATGCCCCTCTACAATGTCACATGACAGAGGTGTGAACGAAGGCTATGTCCCTGTGGTGAAAATTCACTTTGCAAAGAACACCCAATCACCAACAAGGAAATGTAAAAAAAAACAAAACACAGTATTATTGCTAGCACATGATTGGATGATGGACGTCAGCTGAGCTTCACCTCATTCACTAAAAGAAAATTCCCCTGCAAAGTGAACAGCTTGTGTGCTTCTAGTAAATCAACCCCTAAGAGACACTTCATTGTGCAATGGTTAGTTTTGGAAAACAAGAACATTCCCAGAGATAAAAGAAGGAAATCTCTAAACCAAGCCTGGAAAGATGACAACTTTGCTTACACGATGTAATATAATTACTACAACAGTGAAAGATCAGAGATCCAGCATTGTACCGGAAATACCGAGCTCCTGGTGTGTATAATGAGCGGTATATGAGAGAGGTTCCTCACCTATGCACGCGCTCAGCTCTGCACAGCTTCACTTACCGCCCGGTGCTCGCACCTCTCCGCACGGTGTTGACAGTACTGAGATCGGCGTTGGTTGCTATGGAGATTTCGTCACGCGCAAGCGCACAGCACTAACTTTTTCTAACTTTGGCCGAGTGCTTGTGATGTCAGGCAGACCTGCTGAGTACTAGGGGCCACTTCCAGTACTGTGGAGGGCTCGCTCGGGTATTCCACTGAGTCAGTGCTGGAACCATAAACACTACTGTGGAGGGCACGGTGATGTCCCCCAGTACTCAGCAGCAGTTTATGGCCGATGGCAGGTTGATATCACCTGCACTCGGCCATAGTTAGAAGAAGTTAGTGATGTGCCTGAAGCAGGAAGAAGTAAATGATAGAAGCTGGCTAACCTTCATGTTCATTACTGGAGCCTGCAGACACACGGGAGGGGGTGGGGAATGGGGGGCTAACAAAGTGTCACATTTCTATATTTTTTCTCAATTAGAGCTTACTGGCACAAATCAATATACATGGCACACGCCTATATTTTGTGGTGGTGTGCTGAATTCCAGCACACTTACTCTGGGGGACTCCAAAATGTTACCCCAAATCTGAGGCAATCTTCCTCTGGGATTATTATAAATGGTCTCCTTCCTTCATTGCTGTACCTGGTTGGGCGTCCATACACATCCCCCTCGCCTGCACCTTGCTGGCCGTCCATACATATCCCCCTTTGCTGCAACTTGCATGCCATCCATATGCATCACCCATTCCTCACCTCCCTTTGTTGCATTGCTGGTTGCACCTCACTGGCTGCCCATACATATCCCCTCTCATTGCTGCATTCTGTTGGCCATCCATGCACATTCCCCTCTACTCATTGCATTGCTGCACCTTGCTGGCCATTCATTCACATTCCACTCTCCTCAGTACACCTTGCTGGCCGTCCCTACACATTCCCCTCTCCTCTCTGTATTGCTGCACCTCGCTGGCCGTCCCTACACATTCCGCTCTCCTCTCTGCATTGTTGCACCTCGCTGGCCAGCCATAAACATTCCCCTCTCCTCGCTGCATTGCTGGCCGCCCCTACACATTCCCCTCTCATCGCTGCACCTTGCTGGCCGCCCCTACACATTCCCCTCTCATCGCTGCACCTTGCTGGCCGCCCCTACACATTCCCCTCTCATCGCTGCACCTTGCTGGCCGCCCCTACACATTCCCCTCTCATCGCTGCACCTCGCTGGCCAACCATAAACATTCCCCTCTCCTCTCTGTATTGCTGCACCTCGCTGGCCAACCATAAACATTCCCCTCTCCTTTACTGCTGTATTGCTGCACCCCACTGGCTGTCTCCCCTCTTTCTGGCCAATACAAATGAAATCTGTTGGGTTGGTGGAGATTTCCCCCTTCCAAAAATGTTGCATGGACAATCTTCACTTTAGCTTGTCATATCATACCTTGAATCTCATAATGGGAAACATTCTATCACATTCCTTTTCAATGCCAGCTAAATCTAATAAAGGTAGTATTCAGTGTCCTCTAGGTACACTATGTCCCCTTGTCTCATTGCCATATTCATTTCATACATTACTTAAATGTAATTTCTATTCATCTCTCCTATCCAGGAATACTGATCTTCCTATCTAGGTCTTTATGTTTTTTTCTTACATCACTAAAATGAATGTAAAGTGGTACTTAACACTCAGAGGGGGATTGATCAAAACTGTTGCAGACAAAATCTGGAGCAGCTGTGCATGGCAACCATTCAGCTTCCCCCTTACATTTTCAACTCTTACCTGAACAAACTGAAGAGAGAAGCTGATTGGTTGCCATGGGCAACTGCTCCAGATTTTGTCTGCTCCAGTTTGGATCAATTCCCCTTTCACGTTGTTTTTTAACTCGGTGTTAGTAATCAGCGTAGCATGCCCCAATATTTGAAAATGCTGCAGTGTGGCCAAATACTTAGAAACCTCCCCTTCCTCTCCCAGCTGCAGAGTGCACATTCCTCGAACTTCTGAAGGGAAGAGTGGGTTCATCTTGCGTACATACATTGGGCAGAGGTGCATGCACGCTTGAGGTCACAGGAGGTTGGAGGAGGAGTGGCCTGCAATGTGAGGCAGTGAGCACATGATGGAAGCTCGCACACACGGGTGTCTCCGTGCCGTGGGACACTGTAAAAAGAAGGAGAGACAAAAAGTTTTGGGCAGCGGCACCAGCACTGAGAGGGCGACTTGCAATGGGTGGAAGAAAGTAGATGTATGCATCACGTCAAGTAAATCTTTACACCGGCATTAGGGGAAACAACAAAAAAGTAGGCTTTAATGTCACTTTAAATGCTCTAAATTTGAACCCCGCATGTTTCACCACAGACCTTATGTCTTCATCAGGAGTTGAAGTAATTTTAAAGTCAAAAGGATGCTGATCCTTGGTGTCTGAAAGTTTTAGTTTCCTGCAGAACCAACTAGTCCCCTGAGCATTGGTCCTGATATCCTGTTTTAGGGGGGCTCCTTTCCCTAGCAGGAACCCTTGGAGTCACCCTTGTGTGTGGTAGTAAGCTGTGTGTGGCTCCACAATTACACAAACATAGCAAGCAAGCCACTCCCCTGCTCCCAGCTCTACCTTCTGTCCTTCTTCCTTCTCCAAACTATCAGATGGACATCTGCTGAACACCGTGGTGTCCCTTGTGATCATGTGCTGGACAGGATGTTCAGGGAAGCCGAGCTGAGGGAGTTGGAGCTGTTTGGAAACATGGTAACTGTAAGTGCTTGGGCACTTGTAACTAAATACTATACCGGGCAAAATATATTTGTTTGATCTGGATTCACTTTTGAAAAAAATGTTTTAGAGTTTAATACTACTTTAAGTGCTATAATACTCTGTGTCTAGTACAAGTACATCAGTGAAAATGTTACATACCATGACTGTGTCATCTCAGAGCGTACATCCATATGTGGTAGCTCTCCGTTTGTGCTGCATCATTTGTTTTTTGCTCAGGCTTGTCCCTCATTGCATATTACAAATAGCAGCACCAGTAATTACATTGTAGGAGACTGCACTCCCTTCTTTGACCGAGGTAAATTATTTGTACTTTACGTACGATTGTTATGTTGTTTCCAGTAAACAAACACAACCTTTCATTAGTTATTTTGTATTATTTTTTAACTATTGTTTCAGTGCATTGTATGGATGGATTTTCACTGCATTAATGTTTAGCAAGTCGGATTA